CTCTCTCTCTCTCTCTCTGTATGTATGTGTAAAAAGCGTACATATGCGTATAATCGTGTGCTATGTGTGATCGCTTCTTTACAAGCACGTATTAAGAATACATATATTGTGTGTGAGATAAAAATGGACAAAACATTGGTATAGAAGACAATGACTGAGTTAGATCATCTTTCCAGTAAAATTAAGGACAATATTATAAGGAATAGATTATATTATAAGTTTCAGTGAGGGATATGAAATAAAGTGACTGGGTGAGAAAAGGGACAAGAAAAGTGACAGATTCGGTTCTAGATAGCGATGTGGATCAGAGTAACCTGTGGTAGAAAAGAGACAAGAAAAGGAATAGATTACATCGGTTTCATTGATAGATATCGGAGAGAGAGACTGGGTAAGAAAAAAAGTCTGTAAAAGAAATAGATTGTATCGGTTTTTGTGAGAGAGATATATGGAATAGAGCGACGGGGTTAGAAAGAAGGACAAGAAAAGCAATAGATTGTATCGTTTTTTGTGAGAGAGAGAGAGAGATGTGGAGTAGAGCGACGAGGTTAGAAAGAAGGACAAGAAAAGCAATAGATTGTATCGGTTTTTGTGTGTGTGTGTGAGAGAGAGAGAGAGAGAGAGAGAGAGAGAGAGAGAGAGAGAGAGAGAGAGTTTTGGGTTACATTGTACTGATCTTTGTTTTATTTTTTAATGTTGGCGTGCGCGCTCATATTATGACCTTATGTAGTTGCGAGCGCCGTAAAACTCTTACCAAATTAAATCAGATGTTGGTGTTTTTAACGTTTAAAACCACTGTAAACAATGGAAAATTATTTCATTAGCAGTTGGCGAGTGTTCTGGTTTAGTTTCTTCCTTCTTTCCAATCAAACTTCTCTCGTCCCAATCTCTCCTCCTTCTTCATTTTGTGTTTGATACCCTCTAATTGTAACACTCCTAATCTTCGGCGCTAAATTGTTTATGATCTTATCGGGTTGCAAGTGCCTTTAAATCTTTTCAAGAAGTTATTATAAGGAGTACCAATAATTAAAATGCTTTACTGGGGGGTTTTTTAAAGGAAGGGGATGGAGATGGGGAGGGGGGTTGGGGGGTAAACAAAAGGGTGTTGTTCTCACTCAGTAAAATTGGCAAAATATTGTGCAAATGTAGCAAGGGGACGCAATTCACTTAAATGTCCCTATTTGAATACAGCTCTATATTTCACACAGAGTCGCCTCCCGTATCTTACAGGCTTATAATGCCTCGCAAGATGAATACATGTAATTATATTTTGTTTTGGTGAGACATATTCGGCTCTCGCAACTGCATAAGGTCATAGCATGAGCACGCTTGCAAGATTTATTTTCAAGACATCAGTGTGTAAAATAGTATGGCATGGGTTTAGTTATCCAAGAAGCGCCAAAGTATTGTAAAGCGCCTAAAGGTGTATTGTACAGGAGTGGGCGCCATTATTTATTTATTTATTTATTTATTTATTTATTTATTATTATTATTGTTGTTATTTTGTTGTTGCTGTTGTTGTTGCTGCTGTTGTTGTTACTACCATCATTATAAGCATCATTATAATCATTATAATTATCATTATCATCACTCTTTTTCTTCTTTTATTTCGTTATAAATATATATTATTTAATTACTTCTCAGCTATAACGCTATCGCAACCAACGAGTCCGCCCAGGGCGGGGCCGGAGGCCTGATCTCCCTTGACGAAGTCCACTGCCAGGGCACAGAGTCCCACATAGCAGAGTGCGGCCTCACGCCCGACAACTGGGCCATTCATGATTGTGGCCACGACGAGGACGCGGGAGTTGTCTGCTCTACAGGTACGTACGTACACGTCTCTAAGACTACGGGAACTACCTGTACTTGTGTGTGGCATTGTGGTGAAAGCAGGCGCTCGTCAAAATAATGAAATCGAAGACATTTAAGGAGGTGGCATTTTTTACCCCGCCCGTTGGGCAATTTATTAAAATTTTGATTTTTGTTTGGCTTTTACCAGTTATGCCCGTTTTAAAGCACATTCTAGCTGAGATTTTTACTGTAAAATGTTGATCAAAAGCACTTAAAAGAAACAATATATTAAACAGAATTTTCCTCGGACACTACCATCTTAAAATCACCAAACTTCAGCGGACATTATCTCGATGATTTTACCTCTGACAACAGGAGACCCCCGTCTCCTACACTGGAAAATATTTCGACTTCTATTTTGGATAGATGCGTGTTAATTTTCGTCAAAAACAAAACATACGAACAAGATTTGAGATCGTACCGACTCCTCAATATTCCCCAAAACTGACGACCGCTTGATTCCACCCCATCGTGTGTGGAGCATAATTTTTCATTATTTGTATTCACCAAAACTCATCTCTAGTTTTTGAGCCTCACGTACGTCCCTATTAGTCAAATCCCGTTTTTATGTAAAATAAACATTTAATTTTTTCGGCACTTATATGATCTTATTTTTTTGCAAGAGGAGTAAAACGTTTTCAAAAACTAAAACTAAAATTAGGAGACAGGTAGAAGTATCAACTCCTCGTGATGGTAAGTCTCAGTACAAAAAAATAAATAAAACGATAGTTTTATTTAAAATTGATTCCAACTGAGATTTCAATACTCACCACATTATGGCATTTCATTCTTCATTTCCAATCAGCTGGCGCCAATGAGGATTTCCTGTTATTCTCCGATGCCTACACAGGCTTGCTTGTACGGATGGATCTCAATAGTTACAGGTACTGGGGGGATGTGGCAGGAATGTTAAAGTATCATGGCCGATATGTTTGTGTGTGAATGACAGAGAAAGACAGAGAGACAGAGTTAGAGAGGGGGAGAGAGAGAGAGTGAAAGTGATGGTGAGAGTGAGAGTGGGAGAGAGGGGAGGGGGAGAGGGGTAACATTCCGATAATAGTCATAAACTTTTCTTTTGTGGTGTCGGTGGTCTAGTCGTTAGACTCTCCAATTCACATCCGTAATGACGTGAGTTCTTATCCTCTACGGGCCGGACGATGGAAAGGCACTTTTCCCGATAATTTTCCTCAAGTTATCCTTGTGGGAACAGATACCCTGCTTTGACCATCGAAATGTCTTGTCATGTTGCTAGTGTTTTAGAGCATGTAATCCACAGATATGCCGATAATGTTTCTGGGCCAGTTTTTAAGGACTGCTGTATATGTTAAGTACATACGCATGCTATAGAGTGTGGATGTTCACTGTATAAAAGAAATTATCATTTTTCTTCTTCTTCTTCTTTTTTTTCTTCTTCTTCTTCTTCTTCTTCTTCTTCTTCTTCTTCTTCTTCTTCTTCTTCTCATTATTATTATTATTTTCCCCCCAGTTTCACCGCCATTTCCCAGCCATACACAGCCAATCTGGTGGCAGTGTCGTTTGACTCCACTGACCAAAACATATACTTCTCCGAGGTCTACCCTAACCCTGCCTCTGTCATCAAAAAGTCCGACGTTCTTGGGAAGAACATTCAACTCTTGGGAAGCCCAATGAACGGTGAGTGAAGATTTCGCGATCTTACGGGATTTGCCTGTACAGCTTTTCGGTAAGAACACTACTGTTTCAAATTCAACAGGATTGATGAACAATATGAATGTTTTGCTTCTCAAGTCCAAAAAGGGTTAAAATCTTTTTTTGTGTGTTCTAGCTAGGATTTGGTTAAACAAGACTGACCCTGAGGGTAAATGGCGTAAAATACTGTCATAATTTTAGATACCATTTTTTTTTTTTACATAATCTTGGAAGGACCAAGAAAACAAAAGCTTCTGGTTTCTGAGATAAGAACTTATTGTGCCAGAAACAGATTTTTAGAGACACTTGTCAAAGCTGTCATTGTCATAATGCATCTTTTCCGAACAAAAAGACAAAGCACACAAGTGTGTAACCATTAAAAGAATAAAACACCACAACCAAAAGTAAGAGAAACAACAACAAAACTATACGAAAAATATAAACGAAGCATACACAAAAAACCTACATTGACAACAATAAAAAAACAAGTAATAAAAGATCCTATCAACAATAGCTTAAAACAAAATGGACTCTTCTCTTTCCGCTCTACCCCAAAATAAATCAATCAATCAATCAATCAATCAACCGACAAATGAACAAACAAATAAATGAATAAATGAACAAATGAACGAATAAACGAATAAATTTTTAAAAAAAGAAAATAATTTTTTTTTCAAAGTCACAAACCCCCCCATCTCAGTTTCCATATCGACATCCCCCTTACACCCCCTTCCCCCCCAGAAAAAAGAACCACTACCCCCCCTCCCCCCAAAACAAACAAGAGTATAACAAAACAAGATAAGACCATAATACACTTAACCCTGACAGGAAGCATCGTGGACGGCATGGCCATCGACCACGTCCAGAACCTGATGATCTACTCGGACGCCGGCAAGAAGGCCATTGTGAGCATATCCCTGGGCGGGGGCGCCCCCAAGACCATCGTCACTGGGGTTGACCAGCCCAGGGCTATTGCGCTGGACACCAACAATCGGTAGGTGGCTCACAGATTCAATCGGTTGTGTTTTTAGTTTTAGTAAGAGGTTTACGGCACTTGCAACACAATAAGGTCATATAAGTGCGGAAGATATGTGTTACAAGTAAGAGAGTGACATATGTAAAAAAAGAAGGAGGAGAGATAAGGTCGATTGGTGTTTGATAGGAAAGAAGGCGAAAACCACACCAGAGCACCCACCAACCACCCAAAAACTGTTATTTGATGACGATTCAGCTGGAACAGTTAATGTTGTTTATGAGACGATTTATAAAAACTTTTTTGTTCTTAACATTTTTTTCGGCTTATGCTACATGGGACAATTTTGAAAATTGTTTGTTCTTTGTGGTTTTTTTAAAAATTTCTTTGTTATTTTAAGAGTAACTGAAAATGTTGTATGACATTTTCTAAGCAAAAAAACCCAATAAAGATTTAAAAAATTAAAAAATCACAATACATTGTAGTGAATAAGAACAGGTCAGCTTTCTGGTTCATAGAAATGATGAATTATACTCTTTGGGATGTGCCATGCACAGTAGGTTTACAAGAACACGTTAATAATATTATGAAAAGGACTAACTTCCCAATTCCTGGTGTTGAGTTTTTGGTGTCTGTGTATTACTTCTATGTTATGGTATTTGTTTAAAGTCTTTTTTTTTTACAGCGCAGCTTACAGAGATTTGAATTTGATCGTAAAAATGCACTTCTTTGTAACATTCTCTGTCAAGGTGTGGTTTGTAGCTACTTAGAGCTTATTATGCTACCTAAGAGCGCCAAAGATAGTATTCTACATATTATTTATTTATTACAGAAGATTTTCGAGTAGTCTGATGATAATAATATGAACGTGTATGTGATGATAAGAATATCGCGTAAGGATTATCAAAAGCCTTCCTCATTGTCTGACTGACGTCGTTCTGGTACTACATTTATGGAATTTGCGTTATCTGTATTACATAACCATTATTACAATAATATGTCGTATTTCTTCTATGCTTAATATCATATGGTTTGTAGTAGAAAAAACCCCTAGTAACAAACAAACAAACAAACAATAGCAACAAAAACCTCAAAAACCTAACTACAAAACAACAACTCGGCAACAATAACAACAAAACAATAACTAATAAATAAACAACACACTCACAGAAAATAGACATCCTTCACAATCCATCGACAGTTTTATAGATGTTTCCACATGCTATGATAAACTATAGATAATTATATTGTGTAGATATAATAACATGTATTTCATAGAAGTGACAGAAAAACAGTTGTCAATAATTTATCTCGACTGTAGTGGTGGTCACCAATACCACAAGTGTCATGCTGGTCTAAGCTGTAAACTCTACGTTGTTTTGCTAAGGGCACAGGTGCGACTTCACACTTCGTAACCTAAAAATTTATATCTGCTCAGTACCTAGGTTTGAGAATGATTGAAGTAAAAGATTTTGAGTTTCACAACATGTCAAGCTTTTTCGACTGCATTTCTTTGAATATCTTGATAACGACTCCGAATGATCCCAAGATTTTGAGGGGGCTCTCGTGGCCTAGAGGTTAAGGTGTTGGCGTCTCATTCAAAGGTCCAGGGTTTGAATCCGGGTAGCGACAAAAAAAATTTCTTTTCTAAAATTGTCTCCTTTCACCTCCTTTCCTGCTCTCTAGAAATGTTCTGTTGTCTGCTTTCATTTCCACTTTCTGCCCCAACCCCTCTCACCTCCTGACTCTTTCTGCAGCCTTTCTACTGCTACTCCTTGGTTCCTCCTTACTGCTGTCTTTCTGCAACACCCCTGATCTTCACCTAGCCTTCTCGGACAAGGGCGAAAAATCTCGGAGGGCCCGTGTGCAAGTTGCGCACGTTAAAGATCCCTTGGTGGTCTAAAATCGATAAGAGTAGGCTTCGGCCGCCACCCGGGCAAAATTCAAAATTTCTTACCCACTGAAAATATTAAGTGTGTCCCGCGCGTTCTTATGACCTTATGCAGTTGCGAGCGCGATAAAACACTTTACAAAAACAAAGACAAGATTTTGACAGAGGAGATAGAACATTCGGTTTCTGACGTCAGGGTTTTAGTAACTCAAAACGGTCAAAAATGTCAGATAGAACTTTGTAATTCTAAGGTAGCGACTTATCAAAGCAGCCAATGGAATTGTTATTGGGCATAATTATTTTTCTAAATTTGCTTTGGGTGGAACGATAATGTCCCTTTTTTTGAATTTCCAGAATGGTTTACTGGACTGACTGGGGCACATCGCCGAAGATCGAGAGAGCCATGTACGATGGTTCTCAGAGAACGGTACTGGCTTCACAACGCCTCAAGTTTCCTAATGGGCTTGCTCTTGACAACAAAGGTAACTGCGAGAATAAGGGGTGGACAATAGGAGAAAAGGAATGAGGTAATGGTGGAGATCAAGGAGAGAGGGAGGGAGAGAGACAGAGAGAGAGAAAGAGAGAGAGAGAGACAGAGAGAGATGAGATAGAGATAGAGAAACCAATAGGGACAGACTGATTGACAAACAAACAGACAGACAGACAGATAGACAGACAGACAGACAGACAGACAGACAGACAGACAGACAGAGATATAAAGAGACACAGAAAATGAGAAAGACAAAATATTACTGGTAAAGTTGATCAAGGGCACTTAAATGTATATGCGTAATTTCCAAGGACACTACATTCTTGGAAGTCACCAAACACAGGCAGCCATTTTCTCGCTAATCCCTCCGTCAATCGCAACTAGCTCGATTTCTATGCAAGATTTAGATAGAAATGTATGTTTTTCCCCAAAATCAAGGCAAACTTTCCAAAAACAGGTTTGAGATCAAACCAATAAGGCCAAATGCCCAGAAACTGACGAGCACCTGATTTAATAGTGTCGTGACATCTATTTATCTATCTATCTATCTATCTGTCTATCTATCTATCCATCCATCTATATATCTATCTATCTATCTATCTATCTATCTATCTATCTATCTATCTATCTATCTATCTATCTATCT